TAGAATTGGTCAATTTCAGCCTCTTCAGCATCGGTGGTTGGTGCATAAATTGGATTACTGTGATGTTGAAAGGTCTGTCTTGGATTTATATTGAAGTCATTCTTTCATTTTGAAGGTTGTATCCCAGTACAGCTTTTCCCACTCTTTTGTTGACTATGAGGACTACTCCATTTCTTCTACGGGATTCTTCCCCCCAATAGTAGATATGATAATCGTCTGAATTGAATTTGCCCATTCCCGTCCATTTTAGTTCACTGGTGCCCAGGATGTCATGTTGATTCTTACCATCTCCTGTTTGACCACATTCAACTTACCAAGGTTCATAGATCTTACATTCCAGGTTTCCATGCAGTATTCTTCTTTGCAGCATCGGACTTTCCTTTCACTTCCAAGCACGTCCTTTCGGCTTTGGCCCAACTACTTCATTATCTCTGGAGCTGCTCGTACTTGTCCTCTGCTCTTCGTCATTAGCATATTGGATGCCTTCCGACCTGAGGGGCTCACCTTCCAGCGTCATATCTTTTAGCCGTTTGTTTCTGTACATGGGATTTTCTTGGCAAAGATACCGGAGTGGCTTGCCAGTTCCTGCTCCAGGTGGATCATATTTAGTCAGAACTCTCCGCTATGACCTGTCCATCTTGGGTGTCCCTGCACGGTATAGCCCATAGCTTCTCTGAATTGCTCAAGCCCCTTCGCCACAACAAGGCAGCAATCTGTGAAGGGGATTTAGATGGATATAAACATGCTTAGGACTGCTTTCTATATTGCTGTGCTCTTAAATACAGGTTGTTTTTGAGGACTCTTGAAGTTTCCCCTAAAAGAATCCAGCATGGGATGTAGCCATTGTATAGGCAGTTCTCAGTGCATGCTCATTGCCACGTGGAAACCAGAAGTGCATCTGATTGAAACTGCAAGTTACTGTAACATTTGTAAAGTCACATTTGTAAAGAAAATTTGTGGCATGATTGTTGCTGGACATGGGGGGACTGGATGGATATTGGGGTGCAAGGTTGAGGGTAAGTAATCTGCCAATCTATTGCTTGCAGATCTGATACCAGGTTAGACTGCTATGCAGATGAGTTAGAAGGCTGCACGTTTCTGTTTACACACACATGTCATCCAAATATTTTAGTGGATTTTTCATGGAACCATCATTGGGAAAAGAAAACTTTTGTCATTGCTGTATGGTGCCATGTATTTCCTGATAGTGTTTATTGTTTGGTGCAGAATGGGAGTATGAGTCCATAAGTATTGAATACCTTCAGGCTTAAGGCCTTCTTCCACCTGAAAACCTGTTTTATTGTATGCCAAGAGAGTGAAACAACAACAACAACAACTGAAAAGAATGATACAAGACCAGTTACTTGCCTGAACTTTATAAAGATGTTGTGATGTAGAGAAAGACTTAGTATTTTGCAAATTCCTTTCTAGACTTTAGGGAGTATATTGGCAAAGTCTTTGCTTACAGTATAATTTCACCACCTTGGTGTTTGCTTTCTGAAGTAGGAAGATGTTTCCATTTGGTAAGGAAGAATCTGCATCCCTGGAAGAGCTCTTCCACTTTTTCTGTGAATGTGTGCAGAGAGGAGAGTGGGAACTTGCACAGGCCTGCATTCCCCAGTTACATCAGTGGAAGGATGGCTCTGAAAAAGTGGAAAGAATTCTGTATGCTCTAGTTACCTGCCCTTCCCAGTTCAGGTTAGTGCTGCAAATTTTCTGTTACCTCTAGATAAAAATAAGTGAAAGAATATATTAAAACATCTAAAACAGATTGAAATATAATAGACACTAGAAATCAGTGTCATTGTTTTTAATGGGGTTACTTCCAAGTACAGTGGTGCCCCGCTATACACTTACCCGCATGACGTCAAAATGGCTTCACAATGACATGTTTGCGATCATCAAAACTGTAAAAAGTTCTAATGGGGGAAATCTGCTTGACATCGATTAGGAGCCTGCTTCGCAAACTGTTTGTTCGCTTAACGACAATTTTTTGGCTCCGCAAAATGGCTTCCGTTCACAAAATGGCTTCCCACCCTTCGCAAAATGGCTGGTTTCCGGAGGGAACCTTCGCATTACAGCGACTTTGAACAGCTGATCGGCAGTTCTCTATGGGCAATCTTCGCTGGATGATGAGGTATTTCCCTATTGGAACGCATTGACCGGTTTTGAATGCATTCCAAAAGGTTTTTTTTTTCGCTTGACGACGATATCGCTTAACAGCGATTTTGCTGGAACATATTATCATAGTCAAGCGGGGCACCGCTGTATGTGGATAGAAGATTGCTGCTTAACCATAAGGTTTCAGTGTATAGATTTATTATTGCTATGCATAATATGAGCTGGCTGGATAGCTAAGTGAACTGAGTATTTAGATGTGGAGCCAGAGGTTGAGAGTTTAATTCTCCACTGTGCCTTCAGAGAGAAGAGCCTGCCTGTGTGGTCTTGGACAAGCTGCATAGTCACAGGATGCCCCCAGAAGAACGTAGTCGTAAACCACTTCTGAGTACTCCCCACCTATAAAACCCTGAAAAGGGTCACCATAAGTTAGAATTGACTTGATGGTTCAACATCATATACTAATGCAACAATGCACAGACTTATTAAAATGTATTTTATTGTGTTAATGGAATATTAATCTAGTTAAAAGTAAAAGGGTATCTCAGAAGTCTTTGTGCCTGTGTTATTGTTATTGTTCTTATTCCCCAAAATGCAAACAATGACAGACTGTCATTATATACAATAATACATGTTGTAAGACTCTTGTTAGACTGCTGTTAGATATTTTCATCGTTATTTCAGTATACTGTCTGTAATCTGGAGAATAAAAAATGGTTGTAAATACTCATCAGTATAATCACATGGATCTCACTACATTGAACAGGCATGAAAAGTTCATGTTCTTCAGACTACAGCCCCCAAAGATCTGTAGGAATTTCTTCAGCCAAAATTCAGAGAGCTTAGCCAAAAAAGAAGAGTCCTTTCACATTTGTAATTCCTTACAGATGGGGAATCTTGGACAATATGAGTCTTCATGAAGATGGAAGAAGTGGTTGGCAGGGACAAAACCAAATTGTCTATTCATGTTATTGGGATTTCTAGATTCATGAATATAGAATATAAATGACCTATTCTTGGGTATTGGGTTCTTTGTAGGTGTGGACCTAATCAAAGTCCTCAAAAACTTGCTTGGTTTTGGCTCCTTGTGCTGCAGAAGTGGCTGGCATGGGATCAGGTAAAGAAAACATTTAAAATATCAAAATATATAACTGTGTGCCAAGTACAAAGACATTTCAGTCTGCTCAATGAAATTTGATTTTAAAAAAGTCCAAAGCCATGTTTTACTATATTTAGCAGTGCTAAAAGTGTGGAGAAATCGTGTAGGGTTTTTTTTTGTACATTACAACTTGTGAATTTCTTATGTACTTTCTATATTATGACTATTCATTGAATAGTGAACAAAACCTTCATCAAAACTGTAAAAAGTTCTGTTACATTTTTTTCCTGTGGACTGCTCTGCTAATGCAAAGCCTATTCATTTTCTGAATATTCAGGCTGGAACACAAAACAGCTTTTTTTGATTCAAGGAGCCATGCTCTTGAATTCCTTTCATCCACTTTGATTGGATTGCTACCTTTTGAAAGGCCCTCCTGCTATATAATTAAAGGACACCTATGTATATGGATCAAGTGTCAGGAAAAGCTCCTGCTACTTTATTTCTGTGTGCTTAAAAAGCACAGGAGTTGGTGTGGTCGGAAAGTTTGGAGTCCTACTGAGTTTAATGGGGCACATTTAGTTTAAACCAATGGTTCTTAACCTTTTTGAAAGAAACGCCCCCTTGAGCCTTTGAGGAAGTTATCATCTCCCCCTCCCCGCAGTGATGATATCTTTTTATTTATTTATTTATTTACTTACCCCGCGGTGACAATATCTTTCTTTCTTTCTTTCTTTCTTTCTTTCTTTCTTTATTTATTTATTTATTTATTTATTTATTTATTTATTTATTTAAGACAGTTAAATCCAATGACCCCTGAAAACAAAATTAAATTCCAAGAAAATGAAATGCCCCCCAAAAAGTAACATTTAATGATTTATTGGCAACTGACTTTTAAGATGCAAAAAGAAATATAAAAAGAGCATAAAAACAAATGCAGGAACTAAAAATTTCAAGACAAAAAGTCTGAAACTAAATAAAAATGGGAGGAAAATGTATATTCATGCACACAGTAAAAACGCTGAATCCATCTTCACAGGTTTGGCTTGCTCCAGCGCCCCCCTACCGCCCCCTTCTGCTCCAGTGCCTCCACACCGCCCCTTTTCATTCTACCGCCCCCCTGAAAAATGAAATCGTCCCCTGGGGGGCATTATCGCCCACGTTAAGAACCACTGGTTTAAACCTAGTAGCGGCAGAAGCTGTAGCTGTGTTTATAGTTCCCATCAATGGCTCCCTTGGATTGTAGCTGTCATCTTTAAAAATGAATGAATGGAATCTGTGAGTTATAACCGACAGTGAATAGCTAATGGCTGCTGAGTAATTGTATAGTATCAAAGCAGAGTCAGAAATGAATTGCAGTCTGTCCCCAGTTTCTAAAGCTTTAAAACATCTAAAAGTACTTGACAATAAGATCTCACTAAATAGTTTTTAATTGTATTCTCTTTTAATATGTTTCTTTTCTTTTTCTTTTTTTCTCTGATCATTGCAGAAAACTTTACCAGTATCTATCAAAAGAGAAACTGAATTCTTGCTTCTCTTAGAAGAACTGGAAAAGAATGTCCCACATACTGTTCTAAAGGTCTGCTTCCTTTTTGAGTATCAACTTGACATGGCTATGCTCTTTCTAGTGCAGAAGCATCTGAACAGACTCAACAGTGCATTGACTTATACAGTGGTGCCTCGCTAGACTATTGCCTCGTGGGATGAAAAACCCACAAGATGATTGTTTTTTGCCATCACTATGGTGCCTCGCAAGACTTTTTTCTATGACCGTGCTTTGCAAGGCTTTTTTTTTTTAGACCGATGCTTCTCAAGACTTTTTTTTTAGACCAATGCATAGGGAACCTCGCAAGACGATTTTTTCACAAGACGACGATTTTTGTGGAACGAATTAAAATCGTCTTGCAAGGCACCACTGTATAATCATGTCTTATATAACTGTTAATTTCAGCAGGTAGTATAATGCTGTGTGTGTATGTGAAGCTTCTGTGTAAGCTGAACATTTCAGGTAGTGAAATAGAGTAAAGAAAATATAATAGAAGAAACAAAACTCTTGATCCTTTTCTGATAGTGCGATTGACTCACAGCACATCATGCTTTTCTTTAGCACTGTTGTTCCAGTTACAGTATTCTTGTCTATAAATTTCCCATTAGCTTTTTTAGAAATTCTATTCAAAGAGCATGAATGATGACCAATAAGGAGCATACAGTATTCTGGAATCACAGGTGGTCACATTAAAGCTACAGTCAGAAATAGGCATTTCTGTTGTTCCAGTTATTATAAGAAAATCATATGCCATGTACACAGGGTGCTTGTGGCTTAATTTCCTCTTGAAAGCATAACTGTTTTTATTTAGTTTTTGTTTTTAATTTAGTTCTTGTTTCACCACAGCAGAAAAAGAGGATAAGTATTACTTTGATTTCAAGTGCTCCCTGTGCTTTACTGAAAGAAAGTAAGAATAGGACAAGTCCAGCCATGTGAACAGAATTGTGAAAGGAATGCTGGAAGCATATTTATGCCTTTTGCTGATTAAGAATAATACTTACAGGGCTCTTGAAATAACCTGTACTCTGACAAGCCGCCCAGAGACCTCGGGTAGTGTGGGCGGCATATAAGTTAAACAAATAAAATAAAATAAAATAAGTTAAATAAATAAAATTAAAAGAAACCTAGATGTTAGAAAGCAGTACACTGAGCATCTGTTCAAAAAAGACAGTTCATTTTTGCATTAAATTGACATGGGAAAGTATAATAATCGGCAGGAATAGTAAAGCAAGAGAAGATGTTTGTCCTGAGATTTACAGAGGGGCATTCCCTGCTTTGTTCATTAACATTTTTAATTTTGACAAATGGAGTTGCAATGAAAAGTGACTTATTGTTATTCCAATTGTGTATTTCCTTTCTCAGGAGTTGTATGAAATTTTTGAAGACAGACATTCGAATAGGAAACAAAGGGATGTATCCATACAGAAATTCAGTGCAGAAGCAATCTCAGCTCTCCAAAAAATGCTGCTGCAGGCTCCCCGGAAGCTGCAGGCTGTATTACAACTTCTTCAGAGAGATCCTGCTGAACACGGCTCTGTGCTGCCTGATAGTTTCTCACCACAACACGTCTTAATTGACTTTCTCTGGGATTCCCTGAAATATCTGAAGCGCCTTCAGCTAAATCCCAATTTAGCAGAAGCAGATCAGACCAAGGCTGTCGATGAAATCTATACTGCCCTTAGCCTGGTGAATGTGGAGGTAGAGAGTCAGACTGGAGAGCTGCGCCTTCTCTGCAGAGAACTTCTGGATGCCTGTTGGGCTGAACGCAGCCCACTGAGCGAAGAAAGGTTACTGAGCTGCCTCTTCAGGAAAGGCAGCCGCACCTTGCTCAACCTCTTCAGCAGTGTGTTTCTTGAGAAGATGAGAGAGAAGCTGCTAGGACCAAAGTCTCCAGGCAAAGGTTTGTTTCAGTTTAAAAGAGTCTACCCCCCTTTACAAATTCTAGTTAAATGGCAAAATATAGTTTTTGAATGACGCTGACGTATCTTGGGCATTTTCCCACGGGGAACAGGCACCTGCAGGTATTCTGTGGTTGCTGCATCATGTCCCACTTCAATAGAGCAGTAGCTGAGAAGAGAGAAGCTGTAGTCCTTGTCCAGGTTAAGTAGGGAGCATCCCTCCATGCTCGGCTGAACTTGTGCCATTCAAATTGTGGGAAGGCTTTTATTCCTGAATAGGTCTTCTATGTCTCCCTGGTATGTGAACTTAACCACAGTTATGGATATTGCAGGTTCATCAGAACAGTTGGATGCTGAGCGGGCAGTGATGGCATTGTTCTTGGATCGCGAGCCGACATCTTCTTGGAAAACTGGCTATTTCTATTGTCTCAGTAGCAGCAAGCACTTTTTGGAACAAGTTCTGGTAAGTCCCCCATAAGACAGAAAAAGCTGAACAGTTAATTTGTCAATCCCAATGTCTCAGAAATAAGTTCTGGCTTGTGAAGACATTTTGCTGCCTAAGGCAAAGGAAAAAATAGTCCTCTCCCTGTTCTTTTTCATGGACAGAAACCAGTGGGACTAGTAGCTGAATCTTTTTCCAGTACTAACAAGGAGGGTAGAAGACTACCTTAAGGGGCTCAGGCAGGTCAAGTTGCACAAGCAGCTCTGTTCCCTACCGAGGGCACTGGCCAAGGAACTTGGGAGAAATGGCTGGGAGAAGAGTGACATTGCTAGGATCTGTATTGCATATGGTTGCCTCACCCTTTCTAATGGCAAGACTGGCTCTGAACAAAGCGAAGTTCTTTGTGAAGGACAGTCCTGCCATTAACACTGAGATTTGTGGCAAATGTACGGTAAATTTAGTGCCTTAGATCAATGAACTTCAAATAAAGGGGTAAGGAAGAAATAATAATTATGTGCTCACTTATGGACATGATTATTAATTCTGACTTATGACAACCCTTTTCAGGGCTTTCTAGTAGAGAGTACTCAGAAGTGGTTTACTATCTTCATCTTCTGGGGGCATCCTGGGACTGTGCAGCTCGCCCAAGACACACAAACTGACTGTTCTTGGGATGCATAGTGCAGGAATTGAGCTCCCAATCTCTGGCTCCACAGCTAGACACCTAATTCGTGGAACTATCCAGTACCTTGTACTTTATCTAGATATCTACAGTGGGCACCATCTGATGCCATACAAGTGGACTTCATAATATGACTTCTCTTTCCTCTTCTCCTCACTGGCCTCCTCAAGGTGTTCCAGAGGATCTCTGTCCAGAGCAGTTTGAAAGGCATGCAGGGGGATTTCTGGAGGGAGGGGAAGCCACTTCTTCCATTGTGTTGCATTCTGCTACCTGATGGACACCACTGAGTGCAACCCTCTGATTGCCACCTTGAGTATTATTCACTTGAGTCCATGTATGCTAAAGATTTTTTTATGAATGAAGGGATGTGAACGTAGAGTAGAAAGTGACAAGTTTCATATTTTGAAATGTTGTTAAAGGTCTGAAACAGGAATGTAAATTACTGTAGTTGACTGGCATTGAAGAGAACTGAACTACACTTAAATATGTGTATTTGTCTTGACCATGATGGGTAGTGGTTCTCCACGATCTCAGGCAAGGATTTATTTAACCAAAATCTATTAACAGAAGTGTCAGACTTTATCATGGGGCTTTGGTGCACATAAAGCACATGCTGTTATAACAACAACATGCCTTCAAGTTGATGCTGTGTTTCCCTGAAAATAAGATCTAACCTGAAAATAAGCCCTAGTATGATTTTTCAGGATGCCTAGTAATATAAGCCCTACCCCAAAATAAGCCCCAGCTAAGTGAATCCCCACCCTCCACCATTGTACAGCAGCCAGAAGAAGATGACTTGACTATATTTGAATAAATGTAGATTGTTGTACATGAAAAAAATAAAACATCCCCTGAAAATAAGCCCTAATGCATTTTTAGGAGCAAAAATTAATATAAGACCCTGTCTTATTTTCTGGG